TGATGTGGATTATCTGTTTTGATAATATGGATTATATGACTGTGTAGAAGGGGCCTAAGATGTACCTCTCCCCATATGAACACCTCTAAAAATGAAATGAGTCTCATCTTAGGGCCCTTCCAGACAGGCCCTATATTCCAGGATCTGATCCCAGGTTTTCTTTTTATCCCAGATTATCTGGCAGTGCAAACTCATATAATCCAGTTTAAAGCAGAAAAACTGGGATCAGATCCTGGGATATAGGGCCTGTCTGGAAGGGCCCACAGTCTCCTTATAGATAGATAGAGGTTTCCCCTGGCTTTAAATCTATTGTGTCTGACTCTGGTGGTGCTCATCTCCATTTCTAAGACGAAGAACCGGCATTGTTCGTAGACAAGGCCATGTGGCCAGCATGACTGCATGGAGCGCCGTTACCTTCCCGCCGGAACAGTACCTATTGATCTAGTCACATTTGCATGTTTTCAAACTGCTATAAATATGTGAGAGGAAGCCACAGGGAGGAGGGAGCAAGCTTGTTTTCTGCTTCCCTGGAGACTAGGACGCAAAACAATGGCTTCAAACTACAAGAAAGGAGATTTCATCTGAATGAGGAAGAACTTCCTGACTGTGAGAGCCGTTCAGCAGTGGAAATCTCTGCCCCGGAGTGTGGTGGAGGCTCCTTCTTTGGAAGCTTTTAAACAGAGGCTGGATGGCCATCTGTCAGGGGTGATTTGAATGCAATATTCCTGCTTCTTGGCAGGGGGTTGGACTGGATGGCCCATGAGGTCTCTTCCAACTCTTTGATTCTATGATTCTATGCTAGGTTGGCAGAAGCTGGGGGTGACAGCAGAAGCTCACACCGCTTCCCAGATTCGAACCTCCAACCTTTCAGTGAACAAGTTTAGCAGCTCAGCTAACAAACTGCACCACTGGGGCTCCTATCGATCTATCTATCTATCTCCCATTAATCTGATTGAAATTAGTGTGGATTTACACTTGATAGTGTCTAGGGCCATTTCTACATTGCCATATAAAATCCAGATTATCTGCTTTGAAGTCAGGGCCCTTCTACACTGCCATGTAAAATCCAATTTTCTGCTTTGAACTGGATTATATGGCAGTATAGACTCAGATAATCTGGATTATCAGGTCTAATCATTTGGATTATATGGCAGTGTGGAAAGGGCCTTAGGATGGCATAAATATGGTAAATTGTAAGGTGCCTTGAGCCTCAATTCCATGAGGAAGACGAGATCAAAATAAATATCATAGTTTGTCATTCTTTATCTGTCTCTTTACCTTATATCCTGCCTTCCTCAGATGTATGGAAGTATTTGTAAGGTCAGCTAAAGTGGCTGCTAGGTCTAGTAGGGAGGCGTGTTATATAATCAGGCTGAGGATGGAAGGCAATCAGAGGGAGCCTCTGGTCAGCATGTTTGCCTGAGGCTTTGGAGCAAATGTTTCTCCATAAATCAGCCCTTCCTTCACAGCTGCCAGTGGTTTGCAATTTAGCTCCTTTCTGTGCATCCACACTGTGGAATTAATGCAGTTTGACACCACTTCAGTGCTATGGATTCCTTAGATCTGTACTTTAACGATGCCTTTAGATTTCTCTGCCAAAGAGGGCTGGTGCCTTCCTGGATCCCATAGCATTGAGCCATGATGGTTAAAGTGGTATGAAACTGCATCAATGCCACAGTGTAGAGATGCATCCGACTTTAATGGATAACACATGGATGGAGCAGCCAGCAAATGGGGAGGAAGGAGAATAGAATTTTCGCGCGCCTCGCTGCGATTGGCTGCCGCTGACCGCCGCCTCGCTTTTGATTCGTCCAAACCTCCCGCAGATTGATAAAGTCAGCCTCGCCTCTCGAGCTGTTTAAATCCCAGGCAGTTTAGCCCCTCCCGTCGGCGAGAAATTGAGCCGGCGAACTCCTTTCCGATTGGCGTAGAGGTTTTGTCTCGGCTTCCCATTGGCTAGGTAGAGGCATTCCAAAACATTCCAATAGGCGGGGCTGGGGCACGCGGTAGGTTTAAAAGCCAATGATGCTCGGCAGGGCTGCTTCCTGTTGCCGCTGGCCATGCTTCTGGCTACATCTCCCATCCGCCAGCAAAGTCCCGAAGCAACGCCGCTGGCTTCCAATGCAGACCCCGCCGGAGGAGAGGCTTGCTACTTGGGTAGGGTCTGCGCCCATGTAGGCACATTAGGGCACTCTCTGTACATTTTTGTATTCTTAAATACGAAAAGCATCCGCTTATATAGTTTTTCCTGTATGCATCTTATACCTTTTCTATCTGCATGTGTTTATTTGTAATACTTAGTCATAAATTTGTTATATTATATATTATACTTTATATATTTATAGTTATAGTATATATATATATATGTTATATTATAGATTTATATTATACATTTATTACATCTTATATATATATTCATTTGTAATAGACTTATATTTATTATATATAATATAATTTATGCTTTATATTATATTTATTATATTTTATCTATTTATATTCTTTATAAATATAGTTGTATTTATAGTTACATTTATTATATATATATTATGTTATATATTATATATATTGTGTAAAGTTATACATATATCTGTATTACATATATTCATTTGTAAAAGTCTTATATAATATATAATGTATGCTTTACATTATATTTTATATATTTATATTTATTATTTATTATATTATAATATTTATTATAGGTATATGTATTATATATTTATTATATAATATATAATATGTATAACTAGCTTTCCTCTGCCACACGTTGCTGTGGCCCAGGTTGTGTTTATGTGTTTTGTGTGTGTATAAATTTGTGTATATGTGTGTTTGCGTATATATATATGGGTGGTTTTGCACATGAGTTGCAATTTAATTTTTCTTTTCTGGCTTTTTAAGTCTCTTCTGCTGTGTTTTTCAGTGCTTTTTATGAGTGATGGTCACTCATTGGCCTGATAGGTGTATTGTGTCCAAATTTGGTGTCAATTTGTGTAGTGGTTTTTGAGTTATGCTAATCCCACAAACAAACATTACATTTTTATTTATATAGATGTGTAAAACTATACATATCTCTATGTGTGTATACATTTATATCTTATAAAAGTCTTATATATAATATAATTTATAATTAATATTATATTAATTAAAATTATAGTTAGTTATATATTTATTATTTAATTTATTATCCTTATATTGTGTAATATATATATATATATATATATATATATATATATAGTGTTAAATTATAAATATATCTCTGTGTGTATATGTGTGTGTGTATGTGTGTGTGTATATATATTATACATACACACACACATATATATATATAGTAATTACTTTGGAACACATACTAGCACAGCACAATATGTACAAATGCATTAAATCCCATGAATCTCCCAACCCCACAAAATAAAAATTAAGCTTTTTTCAGTTTGAAGTCTTTGCCTTTACACTAAAAAGAAAAAAAATGCAAATACATGTCTACCTTATTTTATGAGAAATACATATTACTCTTCTGCCTTCCTTTTGTAGAAGATTGAGCACTCCAAACCTCCAAGTTTAATCCCTATCCGTGCATCTGCACTGTAGAATTAATACAGTTTGAGGCCACTTTCAGTGCTGTGCAGGCTTGGGACTTGTAGTTTGGCGGGTCACCAGCACTCTTTGGCAGAGAAGGCTAAATTTTGTAAGATTATATCTCCCAGGATTCCTTAACATTAAGCCACAGCAGATAAAGTGGTGATAAACTTCATTAATTCTATGGTGTAGTTACAACTGGCATATTTTGTGCCTATAAATATAAACTAGAAACTGTCCCAATCCTTTAATTACAGTTAATAGTTTACCTGTGTGGTCTGCTTATTATAATGTATAATATTTATACACCTGTTCCTGTCTTGGTCAAGCTCAAAGCAGCAATCCTATAGTTTTTGCGATTGTATATAGTTTTTGCGATTTGTTATTACTCCCTCTGTGTGTGTATCTGTACATATTTTATTTATTTACGACATTTATATGCCGCCCTTCTCACCCTGAAGGGGACTCAGAGCGGCTTACAAGATATATATACATACACTATATTACATTATTAGCATAGTACAATATCAGTATTAAATATTAATATATTGTATTATACCATTATATTGTAATCTTAGTAATATTACATGTAGTATAAATATATAATTATAATATATTAGTGCTATATTGCATTACATTATAATTTTATAATTATTATATGTATATACAATGTATTATATTAAATGGATGCAATGACTCAGCAAAAGCTTTAGTTGTGCCTGTGGCTTAGTAACACCTCAGTCTGAGAGAGCTCTTTGTGTGAGAGAACACCTCAGTGGGAGGATAGGTCTCAGTGGTAGTAAGCCTCACTGTGGAAGATTGCATACCATTATTTTGCTTGTTTTATTGTATTGTGCTGGTGTGTATTTGATGGATGGATATATATATATATATATATATATATATATATATATATATATATAAGGTCACGAAGAGTCGGAGACGACTGAACAAATGAACAACATATATATATATGGTATTTCTCATCATTATAAGGACAAATTTATAGTGCAGCACAGTTGGTCGACTCATATAGCAGAGTTTGAAATTGCATTATAAGGTCACTGTAAAATCATATAAAGTAGGTTAACTCTATTTAATTGCTTTACATTAATCTACACCAGGCATGGGCAAACTTTGGCCCTCCAGGTGTTTTGGACTTCAACTCCCACAATTCCTAACAGCCAATAGGTCTACACTGACCATATAATGCAGTTTCAAACGGAGCTTTTTCTTTTCTTCTTTGCTGGAACCAAAATTAGTGTGCTTCTTAAAATTGATGGTCTTTTCCAAATATAGTATATGAAAGAACACTATATGATGGAATAATATAATGTACTATAATGGATTCCTGGCAAGAGGCAGGAATTACAGAAGGGTTTCCCGGCCGTGCAAATACTCATCCCTGCTTGACTTTCCACTTTCAGGGAAGGCGACCTTGGAGACGCGCTACCGCCTGGGAGCCTTGATCGGTAGCGGCGGTTTCGGCACTGTCTATGCCGGCACACGGCTCTGCGATTCTCTCCCGGTGAGTGAAACAACATGCCCTTGTCATTACAAGTTCAGAGTAAATAAGTTGCAATGGCAAATATGATGTTTGTTTATATTTGCAGGTGCAAAACCACCTCTGAGGGTGTATCTGCATTGTCTGATGAATGCAGTTTGACACCACATTAAGTGTCTCAATACTGTCAAATCTTGAGAGATGTAGTTTTATAAGTTCTTCACTCTTCTCTGTCAAAGAGTATTGTTCCATCCCCAAATTATAGTTTCTCTGATTTCATGCAGCCTTGGCAGTTAACAGAATAGTAACACATCCAGGTGACCCTGCAGACGGCTGATTCTCTCACACCAGAAGCGACTTGCAGTTTCTCAAGTTGCTTCTGACACAATAAAAAAAGTTGTCTCCAGCTTAAGGCAACCCCAAAAAGTTATTTACTTGGCAATATTTATTTAGAGGTTTGCCACTGTCTTCCACTAAAACAGAGAGAATACCAAGTGGCTTCAGGGGTTCAAACTCCAATCTTCCTTATTATTGTTATGTATTTATTTATGTATCTATTTACAGTATTTGTATACCACCTTTCTCACCTCTAGGGGGACTCAAAGTGGTATTTATCCTTAGCCCCAGTCCAACACTCAAATCCATATACAGCATCTGTCAGGAATGCTTTGATTGTGTGTCCCAGAGGGTTGGACCGGAAGGCCTTTGTGGTCTCTTCCAATCCTTTGATTCTTTCTTCCTCTTCTTTCAGGTGGCCATTAAATATGTCGCGAAGGAGCGGGTTTTGCAGTTCCAGCATATGGTGAGTTTATCCTTCTCTGCTGACTACACTATGTAACAAAATTTGAGGGAAAAAATCTGTTCCTGGTTTGAAAGTGTTATTTCCTCTTTAATTGTGCGGCACTTTCTTTGAAAGTAGTTGTTATCCTCCAGAAACTTCATTTTTGTGACTGTCACAAACTAAGTTGAATTGGTTGAGACTCAGTGAGATATTTATTGAAAAACAATAGCAGCATGTGCTGCAGGATCTCCCACAAAAACAAAGCTTTTGCAGTTTAATAAACCTATTCCGTGTTTTTATGATCGAACCCATTAGGAAATGACACTTATAACCCAGATCAAATTGTGTTGCATAGAGCCATCCTTCCAATTTGAGGTATTGTTGATGTCATTCCATTCTTGGCCAACGCTGAACTCTTTGCCCTCGTTCTCTTCCTCCTCCAGAATGGAAGCCTTGTTCCACTGGAAGTCGTGCTGATGAAGAAAGTGTCCTCCCCGGGTTGCCGAGGCATTATCCGCCTCCTGGATTGGTTTGAACAGCCTGACTCATACTTCATTGTGATGGAGCGCCCTTTGGTGTCTCAGGACCTGTTTGACGTCATCACAGACCGGGGCCCGCTCCCAGAGAGTGTGGCCGCCAGCTATTTCCGGCAGGTGGTGGAGGCGGTGCACCATTGCCACCTGTGCGGGGTACTGCATCGGGACGTAAAGGATGAGAACATCCTGGTGGACCTTCTACACGGTGACCTGAAGCTTATAGACTTTGGCTCGGGAGCATTGCTTCGGGATTCCCCGTATACTGATTTTGATGGTACGTACGCTGTACCTTGGGGGAGAGGGCAGGTGGCTTTTCCAGCAAGAGATGACAGCCTTGTGTCATCCAGATCATAGAATCCAGTCCAAACTGATTCTGCCATGCCAGAGAAGCACAATCAAAGCACTCCCAACAGATGGCCATCCAGGCTTTGTTTAAAAGACTCCAAAGAGGGAGCGAGATCCACTCTTATATTATCACTATAATATATTGGGCCAGCACAGCTGTAATTTCAAACAGTTCTTGAGCATTCGACATTTAGAAATTGCAAGTCGCTTCTGGTGTGTAAGAATTGGCTGTCTACAAGGACGTTGCCCAGGGGATGCCTGAATGTTTTACCATCCTGTGGGAGGCTTATTTGTTTAATTCTCGCACTTCTACTCCACCCTTCTCAACCCCCGAGGGGGGACTCAGGGCGGCTTACAAAAAGGCACAATTCGATGCCGGCACAACAACAAGGTAAAAGAAATAAAACATATAAACAGTAATTAAACAATTAGACAATTAAAACAATCCATTAAGTATCACAGTCCCTAAAAACAATCTAGTGCTCAGCGTTTATCATCTCAGAGTCCGTAATTCAAATTCCACATTGTCCAGTCCAACAATTCTGGTTGTCGCTTGTGCCTTATCTATCCGCCAGATTACCCGAAGGCCTGGTCCCAAATCCAGGTTTTTAATTTCCTTCTAAAGGAGAGGAGGGATGACGATGACCTAATTTCCCCGGGGAGCGAGTTCCACAGGTGAGGGGCCACCACCAAGAAGGCCCTGCTCCTCGTCCCCACCAATCTCACTTGTGATAGAGGTGGAGCCGAGAGCAGTGCCTCCCCAGAAGATCTTAAACTCCGAGGCGGGATGTAGAAGGAAATGCTGGAGCTGACAGATGGGGGCTCACCTCGCACCCAGATTCAAGCTGCCAACCCTTGTGTCAGCAGTCCTACCAGAACAAGGTTTTAACCCAATGTTTCTCAACCTCGGGGTCAGGACCCCTGGGGGGCGTTGCAGGAACACGCAATCAAAGCACTCCTGACCTCTGCTTTAAAAACCTCCAGAGAAGGAGACTCCCAACACACTCTGAGGCAGCGTATTTCACTATTGCACAGCTCTAACCATCAGGAGGTTTGTCCTGATGCTTAAGTGGTATCTCCTTACCTGCAATTTGTGAATGCATTGCTCTGTGTAGCAGTTCTTCAACCCAGAGAGGTTATCTTGATTTGTAAAGCAGTCCTGCTGTGGAAGTAAGGAAGCTGATATGGAAAGGTATGACTTCCTCTATACCTCACCTTATAAATCAAAGACTGTGGAAGGACAGAGTCCACTTTTCCCACCATTGTGGACTACAACTCCCTTTCCCTCAAAATGGTAGCTGGAAGTGATATAGTATCACTTTTTGATGTCATTTTGATTTCCAAATATTTTAATAATAAATTTGCACAATTAACTATATATGTATATACACACACACACACTAGCCATCCCCTGCCACGTGTTGCTGTGGCCTAGTCTGGTGATCCGGAAAATAAAGTAATTAGAGAGTGTTGGTTTCTAATGTATGTCATTTCTTTATGCTTGTGAGTAAACAGTATTTGGGTTGTTGTAGGTTTTTTCGGGATATATGGCCATGGTCTAGAGGCATTCTCTCCTGACGTTTCGCCTGCATCTATGGCAAGCATCCTCAGAGGTAGTGAGTTGAAGCATCTTCACTACCTCTGAGGATGCTTGCCATAGATGCAGGCGAAACGTCAGGAGAGAATGCCTCTAGAACATGGCCATATATCCCGAAAAAACCTACAACAACCCAGTGATTCCGGCCATGAAAGCCTTCGACAATACATTAAACAGTATTTCTTGTTGTTTCTTTGTCAGTGCTGGTGTGGAGATTGTCTGCTTTGCCTACTCTGGAACATGCAACATATAATTGTCCTTCTTAGGGGCCCCCTTCAAATTGATGATTCTATATCTGTCATATACGTGTGTGTGTGAGAGAGAGAATTTATATCTATGGCTGGATGGCTCTTTGTCAGGAGGTCTTAGACTATGTTTCCTTGCCCTAGTGAAGGGAGTTGGACTGGATGGCTTTAAGGCAGCATTTCTCAACCTGGAGGTCGGGACCCCAGGGGGAGGTCGCGAGGGGGTGTTAAAAGGTCCGCCAAAGACCACTAGAAAACACAGTATTTTCTATTGGTCATGGGAATTCCGTGTGGGAAGTTTATTCCAATTCTATCGGTGGGGTTCAGAACACTCTTTGATTGCAGGTGAACTATAAATCCCAGTAACTACAACTCCCAAATATCAAGGTCTATTTCACCCAAACTCCATCTATATTCATATTTGGGCATATGGAGTATTTGTGCAAAATTTGGTCTAGAGCCTTCATTGTTTGTGTCCACAGTACTCTCTGGATGTAGGTGAACTACAACTCCAAAACTCAAGGTCAATGTCAACCAAACCCTTCCAGTATTTTCTGTTGGTCATGGGAATTCTGTATGCCAAGTTTGGTTCAATTCCATCTTTGGTGGAGTTCAGAATGCTCTTTGATGGTAGGTGAACTATAAATCCCAGCAACTACAACTCCCAAATAACAAAACCAATCCCCCCAAGCCCACCAGTATTCAAATTTGGGCATATCGGGTATTTGTACCAAATTTGGTCCAGTGAATGAAAATACATCCTTCATATTAGATATTTACATTATGATTAATAACAGTAGCAAAATTACAGTTATGAAGTAGCAACACAAATAATGTTATGGTTGGGGGTCACCACAACATGAGGAACTGTATTAAGGGGTAATGGCATTAGGGAGGTTGAGAACCACTATAAATCCCAGTAACTACAACTTCCAAATGACAAAATCATTTTTTTAAGTGATGGTCACTCCTTGGTTTAGTAGGTGTCTTGTGGCCAAATTTGGTGGCAATTCGTCCAGCAGATTTTGAGTTATGATGTCACTCAAAACGAAGGGAGTGCATATATATATATATATATATATATATATATATATATACACACACACACACACACATACATGCACACACACACACATACATGCACGCACACACACACACAGAGAGAGAGATATAGATAGGTATATATACATATACGCAGACACACATATACAAACTCTTGATGTCATTTTGAAGAAGAAATAGGAAAAAGCATGTATTTGACTTAATAATTATTGTTTTACATGTTTGCACTCATTTGAGGAGCACTTTGAGTGCAAATTGGAAGTGATTTTTCACCCTAAAGTCTTGGAAACTTTGGAGACCTAGTTGAGGGTTTTTAGGACCAAAAATGGGGCCGGGTTCTGCATGTGGTCTCATTTTTCCCCACCAGCCAACTAAACCTGTTCTGTATTTTAGTATAAAAACAAGCCAATCTCCCCCAAAAAACTGGTTCTCCAAAAACAGCAACAACAGCAACACACCTTTAATTGTGCATGTAGATAAGTTCTCAAGACCTGCTTCTGGTATTGCTGGAAATGCTTGTAAATGAGTTGTAAATGAACAAAAGAGCAATTAGTCCACATTCTCACAACTGAACATTCCAGAGCAAGGAAGAAGTAGTTCTCAAGGCATCAGAAGGCTTTGCAAGTGATTTAAACATTTCTAAAAGGAAAATAGGAAGTGCTCAACTCCAAATGGAGACGTGGGTATGAAAAAGAAAATGGAGTGCTGTGGCCAAAGATGCAGAAATTGAAATCAGAGCACTTAAAGTACTTGGCAGACATAAGCAGGGAGAAAGACTTTGGTTAGGGCAGCACCATGCCCTATGGTCAGCTCTTTTTACACTGAGCAACCATTCTCTAACTCAATTTGGATCTTGTGTCTAGTTTCTAAAAGATAAAGGTTTCCCCTTGATATTTAGTCTTATTGATCCCAGCTCTGGGGGTTGGTGCTTATCTAAGCAAAAGAGCCAGCGTTGTCCATAGCCACCTCCAAGGTCATGTGGCCTGCATGACTGCATGGAGCACTGTTACCTTCCTGCTGAAGCAGTACCTCTTGATCTACTCACATTTGCATGTTTTTGAACTGCTAGGTTGGTGGTTTTCACCCTACAGATATGTAAGGATAAAGGTGCAAAATATGAGCTTTTGCTAATAGTATTTAAATTGAGATGGGGCTCTCTCTGAGCAAGTTGTCACCTGTTTCTTTCTGTTTTTGCAGGCACGCGAGTATACAGCCCCCCTGAATGGATAAAATACCACCGGTATCACGGCTTACCTGCCACCGTATGGTCACTGGGTGTCCTCCTGTATGATATGGTGTGTGGGGACATCCCTTTTGAGCGGGACGAGGAGATCCTCCTTGGAAAACTCCACTATCACTGCAGGCTATCCTCAGGTGAGAGTGCTACTGCTGACCATGGAGAAGCTGAGCCCAAGGAAACATGCCAAACAATTGTGATCAAAATTGTCCTGAGTGACTTTGGACTCCATAGCATGTTCCCTTTCTTTCTCTCACTTCTGTACCACGTTTTTTGTTCCTGGGTTATAAACGTAATTTTCTAATTAGTTGTGTCATAAAAACATGGGAAAGGTTTTTTAAACTGCAAAAGCTTTATTTTTGCGGGGCATCCTCCTGCACATTTTGCTATCGTTTTTCTATTAATTATCTCATTGAATCTCAACCAATTCAATATAGTTTGTGGCAGCCACAAAAACAAAGTTTCTGGAGTATAACAACTACTTTCAAAGTAAGTACTGCCCAATTTAACAGGAATAATACTTTCAAACCAGGAACAGAATTTTTTTCAACTTTTATTACATACTGTTACAGAAGATATAATTGTTCACATCTGGATAGTCCTGCATTGGTGAAAGATATGTAGTCACCAGTGAACTGCACAGCCTTGTATTTTAATGCTAGCAATGGGTTAAACCTTTGTGCCAGCAGGACTGCTGACCAAAAGGTTGGTGGCTCAGATCTGTGAGACGGGGTGAGCTCCTGTCTCTCAGCTCCAGCTTCTCATCTGGGGACATGAGAAGAGCCTCCCACGTCCTTACAGATGTCCAATTCCCTCACACCAGAAGCGACTTTCAGTTTCTCAAGTCGCTCCTGACACACACACAAAAAATCTTGATAAAAGCTCGTGCTTGAACCTCTGCCATCCATCAGTATAGCTTCTAGAGAAGTGGAAGAGGAAATACATAACTGGAAAAACTGCAAATGCCATCAGGCCTAAAGACCATAGCCCCATAGTCAGTGGCCATGAGAGCTGCAGTCCAGAAGCAGATATTTCTGGACTTCAGCTCACATCATCCTCAGCAAATATACCTCAAGGTTTTGGGACCAGGCCTTTGGACAACAGGCATGACAGCACTTTGGATGTTGAATTGGACTGGAAATGGCTATATGGTTTGATAATGTTTTGAATTGCTTTAGACTTACTGTTTTATTTATCATATTTAAATTAATGTTATATGTTAATGTTATTGCCGGTGTAAGCCGCCCTGAGACTCCCCCCCCCCCCCCAGTTGGGGGTTGAGAAGGGCGGGGTAGAAATATTGGAAATAAATAAATAAGTCATATTAAGGAATCCTGGAATTTACAGTCCAACATCTATAGGCACAGTGGTTGAGCACAACTGGTGGAGACAGAACTTTTTCACATGTTTTCATTTTCACAAGTGTCTTGTACTCATAACCCTAGGAAATGTGGAGGTCTGACTGATTCCTCTCTGTTTGTCCCTTTTCCAGACTGTCGTCACTTGATCGAGTGGTGCCTCTCACTCGCCCCAGAGAAGCGGCCTTCCTTGGAGCAAATCCTGGCCCATCCCTGGCTCCTTGCCTACCTGGAACAGAGTGGACGCAAAGGGCCTCAGCAGCCCACGGGGCCCAAAGTGGGCACCAGCCTGTGACTATGGTGGCCTTTGGACAGCGTGGGGAGAGGGAGCTGCCCCAGAGCAGATGGGAACACCTCGACTTCTCCTGCCACAAAAGACTGATGCAATTGCTGTCTCTTATTCCTGCTGATGAACTGAGCGGCTGCCCCTGGCCTCACTCCTGGGGGCGGCTTGTCGAACCCACATGACCGTTGACAACCTCATTAGACCATGGGGCTGGCCTTCCAGTCCCTAGCCAAGACAGTAGAGACCAATGGGTGCCTTTCTGTTCACACAAGGACTTTTTTGCGTGCCCGCCTCCTCCTCTCCCTTCTGTATTGCTAAGGAGCGGAAGATTAACACAGCGCAAGCCGTGTTCCAAGTCTCCTGGCGCCAGCTTCCTCTTGTACGCCTTGATCAGTATTGGAGCTGCCTCAGGACCTCCAGAGGCAGGAGGATTAGATTTACGTTTTAATGCAGTGTGGATATGGCGCTGTCTCTGCCGGTGCCAGCTTGTTATTTATTTAGGGGGGAACGAACTTAACGGGAGCCCTTGCTGCTTCATGTCATGTTACTTCACAGTATATGCCTGCCATAATTTTTGATAGTTAGGAATGTTTTCTCCAGTCCAGCCAGAAAGTAAACACTGTAATACAGAGTTAGCGAAGCTTTAGTATATCAGATCTTGATGAACTACTAGTCCCACCATGTCCTCACCTTTGACAGGGCAGATGGGAAAGGAAGCTTAACCACATCTAGAGAACCACAATCTTTTTTCTTTTCTTTTTTAGCCCAATGGTAACATATTCTGAACATCTCCCCTCCTCGCCCTACATTTCCATTCCTGTTCAGCCATTCCAAGCCCGAACCCAGCTTTCAGTACTTTCCCTGGTGGGGTCTTTCTTCATTCTTGGGTTTTCATATGTTGGAAGGAAATGAAAAGCAAAACAAAGAGGCTCTAATCTCATTAAAGAGAGAACTCATTAAAGAAATGCATTGCTTTTTTAATAGAATGTTGTGGGATGGAGGTAGAATATTCCTAGGTTTCTGGCCTCTTCAGTTCAGAAATGGACCTCAGTTTTATATGTAAGCTCTGGCTTGTGTTGGAGCAGTGGTTCTCAACCTGCGAGTCCACGGATGTTTTTGGCCTTCATCTCCCAGAAATCCTAACAACTGTTAAACTGGCTGGGAGTTTTAAGCCAAAACACTAGGGGACCTACAGGTAGAGGACCACTGTGTTGGAGGAAGAGAAGATTGTGGGAAGTGTGTGCCCTACTGGATATGTAACTCCTGTAAGAGTCAGAGCCAGGTCTTCCCAAGAAGCCCAATGTGGGAGGAGTGCCAAAGGTTTCCCAATCCTACCTTAACAGTGGTTCTCAACCTGTAGGTCCCCAGATGTTTTGGCCTTCAACTCCCAGAAATCCTACTGTAGCAGTTGGCAAACTGGCTGGGATTTCTGAGAGTTGTAGGCCAAAGCACCTGGGGACCCACAGGTTGAGAACCACTGCCCTAAGACTTACAGGTAGAGGACCACTGTGTTGGAGGAAGGGGAGATTGTGGGAAGTGTGTTCCCTACCGGATATTCAACTCCATATTCAACAAGTGTCAGCCATGTCTTCCCAAGAAGCCCAACGTGGGAGGAGTGCCAAAGGTTTTCCATTCCTACCTTAACAGTGGTTCTCAACCTGTAGGTCCCCAGATGTTTTGGCCTTCAACTCCCAGAACTCCTACTGTAACAGTTGGTGAACTGGCTGGGATTTCTGAGAGTTGTAGGCCAAAATACTTGGGGGCCCACAGGTTGAGAACCACTGCCTTAAGCCAAAGTGAAATGACTAAGAGTATTCTTGACAAGGAGTTGAGCTCCATGATTGACTCTAGAAAAGGGTTCAGATTCTGTCATTATCATTTTTTGAGGGCTTCTCTTAACTTTCCAAGTTTAGGAGTGGAAAGGACATCCCTTCTCCGAGTCAGTGTACCTCTTCCAACTATCAGAGAAGATCATGGGGAGCTTTTTCAAACTTGGCTAACTGAAGGAGAAACTCATTGTGTTCTTGAGACAGGATTGACATGTCACCAGTACAGTACTCTGGTCTGCAAACCGGTGAGCTATGGTAGCGAACCAGAATACGTGCTTGCCAGGAGCCTGCCAGAGTAGAAGGACCTCTCTTTCATATAATAATATATGGGTCTCCAGAGGTTTTGGCCTACAACTCTCAGAAATCCCAGCCAGTTCACCAGCTGTTAGGATTTCTGGGAGTTGAAGGCCAACATATCTGGGGACCCACAGGTTGAGAACCTCTGGTATAGTGAGAGTAAATAGGAATAGGGATTATCTTGCCCTCTTTAACAGATCCTCGTTGGACTGGGAAAATGAATTATTATTTATGTCTCAATGTGACATCCACAAGGATCTTTACACTTCTTTAGGTTTGGTTTTCCTTGACGTTACCCTGGCTAGGYTTTGCCAAGAAGGTGATCTAGTGAGCACATTTGTGTTTGATTGCAGCTTTCATAATTCCCTGTTCCAATGGACRATTCTGGGCATTGTAGTAAACATTGGGGGRAAAAAACAAGTYCTATCTTGTACTTCCACCAAGCTAAGACCCTAGTGCATTCAATCCATCTTAAAATTCCTGACCGTTTAATATTGGCTTCCTGGCATTGACTCTTAAGACACAAACAGAACGCTAGCCAAGAGAAACTGGGGCAAGAGAGGTGAAGGAGGGCAGAAGAATTCAAATCCATTAGAGCATCGGATGATGAGCGTGCTGCCTCTGGCAACGTAACAGAGGAGTGCTACTATGCCAATTCTGGTTGGATCTTGTATTTGTGGATTTGAGTGTGTGTTTATGTTTAGTATTGTATCCCATGCACATTAGTGCAACCACATAACGCAGTGCCTCACCCACTTGGGCTCCAGCATCTACAACAACCCTTTCTGGGATTAAATAAACTTTTATAAGAAAAAAAAAACGACTTCGTATTTTTCATATCTGCTCGCGGAACCAAGTTTTCTAATGCAATGTCTACATCTTGTGTAGTGGCAACGTACCTTACATTTACCATACATACTTGACTATATGCCGAGTTTTTCAGCCCTTTTTTAAAGCTGAAAAAGCCCCCCTTGGCTTACACTTGAGCCAAGGTTATTTATTATTTTACTCTGTTGTTGTTGTTGTTGTTATTACTTTTACATTATTTTACCCTATTTTATTACATTTATTATTTTACTCTATTATATTTATATTGTTTTACTCTATTATCTTTTTATTACATTTATTATTTTAGTAAAGGTAAAGGTTTTCCCCTGACATTAAGTCCAGGTGTGTCTGACTCTGGGGGTTGGTGCTAATCTCCATTTTTAAGCCGAAGAACCGGCATTGTCCATAGACACCTCCAAGGTCATGTGGCCGGCAAGACTGCATGGAGCGTCATTACCTTCCTGCCGGAGCGGTACCTATTGATCTACTCACATTTGCATGTTTCCGAACTGCTAGGCTGGCAGAAGCTGGGGCTAGAAGCGGGAGCTCACACCGCTTCCCAGATTTGAACCTGCGACCTTTCGGTTACCAATTCTATTATTACATTTACATTATTATACTCTATTATTGTTTTTATTACATTTATTATTTTATCACTTTGACCAGGGACCACTTATTTTTATTATTACATTTATTATTTTACTCTTATTTATTATTACATTGTTTTACTCTATTATTACTGTTACTACATTTCCATTATTTTACTCTATTATTGGAATGATACATAAGCACATTTACATTAAAGAAGGTTAGAACAATGGTTTAATGGACAGTTGTATCTTAAATTATAGTTTCTTGTAAATATTCAAAAACATTTAACCTACTGATGCCTCAATTAATGTAATTTTATTGGTAGCTATTTTTATTTTGACACTTACTAGTAGCTGCTGCATTTCCCACCCTCGGCTTATACTCGAGTCAATAAGTTTTCCCAGATTTTTAATGGTAAAATTAGGTGCCTTTGCTTATATTCAGGTTGGCTTATACTCAAGTCATCTTGGAAAGAAGTGACAAGTGGAGTGCCGCAGGGTTCCGTCCTGGGCCCGGTCCTGTTCAACATCTTTATTAATGACTTAGATGAAGGGCTAGAAGGCATGATCATCAAGTTTGCAGACGACACCAAATTGGGAGGGATAGCCAATAGTCCAGAGGACAGGAGCAGGATTCAAAACGATCTTGACAGATTAGAGAGATGGGCCAAAACTAACAAAATGAAGTTCAACAGTGACAAATGCAAGATACTCCACTTTGGCAGGAAAAAAGAAATGCAAAGATACAGAATGGGGGACAATGCCTGGCTCGAGAGCAGTACGTGTGAAAAAGATCTTGGAGTCCTCGTGGACAACAAGTTAAACATGAGCCAACAATGTGATGTGGCGGCAAAAAAAGCCAATGGGATTTTGGCCTGCATCAATAGGAGCATAGTGTCTAGATCTAGGGAAGTAATGCTACCCCTCTATTCTGCCTTGCTTAGACATAGGATACTGCTGGGCACCACAATTGAAGAGAAATATTGACAAGCTGGAATGTGTCCAGAGGAGGGCGACTAGAATGTTCAAGGGTCTGGAGAACAAGCCCTATGAGGAGTGGCTTAAAGAGCTGGGCATGTTTAGACTGAAGAAGAGAAGGCTGAGAGGAGATGATAGCCATGTATAAATATGTGAGAGGAAGCCACAGGGAGGAGGGAGCAAGCTTGTTTTCTGCTTCCTTGGAGACTAGGACGCGGAACAATGGCTTCAAACTACAAGAGAGGAGATTCCATCTGAACATTAGGAAGAACTTCCTGACTGTGAGAGCCGTTCAGCAGTGGAACCCTCTGCCCCGGAGTGTGGTGGAGGCTCCTTTTTTGGAAGCTTTTAAACAGAGGCTGGATGGCCATCTGTCAGGGGTGATTTGAATGCAATATTCCTGCTTCTTGGCAGGGGGTTGGACTGGATGGCCCATGAGGTCTCTTCCAACTCTTTGATTCTATGATTCTATGATTCTATGATTCTAAATACATACGGTATTTATTAATGTTCTATATTTTTACCCCGCTTTTCCCACCCCGAAGGGGACTCAGAGTGGCTTCCAAGGGGGCAATATTCAATGCCATACATGGAAATTGGGAACCATACATGCATCTGTGCTACAAAACATAGGATGTTTGATACCGTTCGTCTTCATCCATTACCATCCTGGCTGTTTTAGTTGTGCTGAGGTACTTTGAATTCTCTGCTATAGAGCTTGAGTTCAGGAAAATGAGCTAAAACACTCCAGCAGAAAATGCAAATTATCTCAGCCAGGATTCCTTCCAGTGGAAATGGAGTAATGCATCTGTTTCCTAGGGTGTGTAATTACTTAGGTGTGTTGCAGCAACTTGGGTAAAGCAGCTGAGCTACAAAGTTGTGTGTCTGCTTCAACCTGTAATTCTGCACCTGCATGTGGCTTAAGAACATGAGGGAGTTGCCAAGAATCTAGCCCACTGTAGTAAAGGGTGAGAAGTCACCATTTTTTTAAGGGATGGGCAGAACCTATGTTGAGAGTCACCCTCGTTGGATGAAAAGGACCTCCGTTTCCAAAGATGTGGGTGTATGTTCTGTTGCGTGAGGCTGATAAACCCTGAAGTTCTCCATTCAAGTCCTGACAAGATCAAAGCCAGCCCCATTTCCTATTAAAAGGGGCGTGTTTTTTACACAGGAGTATAAACACTTGTGTTGGAGCTGTTGGCTTCACAGACAAGCTGTGGAACTCCATCTTCTAAGGTAAGCAATGCTTAATTGAATGGGCTTCAGGAGATTTGGGGGAAGGAGGTTTCACAGAGTTCCTTTCTCATCAGAAGCTTGTGCTCATTTAGTATCACTGAAAGAGGTTGATCGTAACAAGGTGGGTTAGGTCTGTCAGGTTTTCAAGCCAAATGGATGTGTTCCATGGTAAAGGAACCCAAGATTACATCCGAATGTATCAAAATGGTCTTAAGAAATAGTTTGCCCTGGCATTCCAGTGGTCGGGGTACAAATTGTAATGGCAACTGGTTGAATCTTTGGTCAGTTTTGTATCCATCTGATAGGGCAGAAGAGCTGAGAAGACCTTTCCTTGTTTTGAGAAGATGCTTTGGGATTTGGAGCAGAGGCTTCCAATTTATAGATCAGTGGTTCCCAACCTTTTTTTGACTAGGGACCACTTTGACCAGGCACCACTTTGACCAGGCACCACTTTGACCAGGGACCACTTGACCAGGGAGCGCTTTGACCAGAGACCATTTTGATCAGGAACCACTTTGACCAGGGACCACTTTGTCCAGGGAGCACTTTGACCAGGGACCATTTTGACCAGGGACCACTTTGACCAGGGACCACTTTGACCACAGACCACTTTGACCAGGGACCACTTTGACCAGGGACYATTTGATCAGGGAACACTTTGACCAGGGACCACTTGACCAGGGAGCGCTTTGACCAGGGACCATTTTGATCAGGRAMCACTTTGACCAGGGACCACTTTGACCAGGGAGCRCTTTGAYCAGGGACCATTTGATCAGGGAACACTTTGATCAGGAACCACTTTGACCAGGGAGCACTTTGACCACGGACCAATTTGACCAGGCATCACTTTGACCAGGGATCACTTGATCAGGGACCACTTTGACCAGGGAACACTTTGACCAGGGGACACTTTGACCAGGGACCACTTTGACCAGGGACCACTTTGACCAGGGASCACTTGATCAGGGAACACTTTGACCAGGGACCACTTGACCAGGGACCATTTTGACCAGGGACCACTTGATCAGGGAACACTTTGACCAGGGACCACTTGACCAGGGAGYGCTTTGACCAGGGACCATTTTGATCAGGAACCACTTTGACCAGGGACCACTTTGACCAGGGAGCACTTTGACCAGGGACCATTTTGACCAGGGACCACTTTGACCACAGACCACTTTGACCAGGGACCACTTTGACCAGGGACCATTTGATCAGGGAACACTTTGATCAGGAACCACTTTGACCAGGGAGCGCTTTGACCAGAGACCACTTTGACCAGGGACCATTTTGACCAGGGACCACTTTGACCAGGGACCACTTTGACCAGGGACCACTTTGACCAGAGACCACTTTGACCAAAGACCACTTGACCAGGGACCACTTTGACCAGGGACCACTTGATCAGGGACCACTTTGACCAGGGACCACTTTGACCAGGCATCACTTTGACTAGGGATCACTCGATCAGGGACCACTTTGACCAGGAAACACTTTGACCAGAGACCACTTTGACCAGGGAACACTTTGACCAGGGAACACCTTGACCAGGGACCACCTAGACCAGGGACCACTTTGACCAGGGGTCACTTTGACCAGGGACCCATTTTGCCAGGCGCCACTTGACCAAGGATCACTTTGACCAGGGACCATTTTGACCAAGGACCACTTTGACCAGGGACCACTTTGACCAGGGACCACTCTCCAACATCAATACCAAAAGGGTTACAAATCAATTTTGTCACCTTTAGATTTGGTTTGGTTATTTGGGGTGCTGATACAGAAAATTGCATTGGAAAGACCACATCAGCTCCAGTTTCTGATGCAGAACATATGCCATCCATTAGTCACCATCTGTTCACCCACAGAAAACCATATTTAATCATCTAGAGCCACAGACCTTATTTTTGGTTGGGAACCACAGGTATAGATTAACTGAATAATTACACACACAACAATCTTGGTGCCTTAGTTTTTAGTCCTGTTCCTGAGGTTATTTGGGACTCTGAATCAGAAAATTATATTGGATAATCACATCGCCTTTAGTTTCTTAGATATGGTTAGCATGGTTTTTTATGGGTGAGCAGATGACTTGTAGATGACACATGTTTTGTATCTCAAAAACTAGACCTGATTGGGGGGGGGGGGGGCTAGTGCTATTTTTTGAATTGACAGGTTAAATAAACCCAAAACAGGGCAAACATTTGCGTGTTGGTCAGTGTTATGGATGAGTACCATCATCATGGATGAACTTTGCCTTCTTATTTATAGTCCTGACATATTTCCCAGCATTTCGGATATTTGGCCAGCACATGTTTCATAAGAAAGAGAAAAAGTAATAGAGAGATGCTAGGTAGACCTAAGGATCAAGAAGTTGAAACAAGGAAAATCTTTATCTCCTGTCCCAGGTGTTTTTGTTCAAGAGTCCAGCCTATCATGGGTGCTCTGGACATTGATGTTTAAGCACACCTTGCTCTGTTTCATTCCAATCCTGTAGCCTCTCACCACCTGAATTCCCTATGGCAGCGGTTCTCAACCTGTGTTTCCCCAGATGTTTTGACCTTCAACTCCCAGAAATCCTAACAGCTGGTAAACTGGCTGGGATTTCTGGGAGCTGTAGGCCAAAACACTTGGGGACCCCCAGGTTGAGAACCACTGTTCTATGAGAAGAGCAACCTTGTTGCTTTGTCAACTAGCAACCAAACTGGTCTCTTGAGCAGAGAATGATTAAAAATGCTGATATCTGCACACTTTGTGCTCAGTCTTGCAAAGAAATGCACCAATCCATATGTACTTTATCATCATATTTTGTATGTGTGTGTGTGTACACACACACAAGCACACTATGTGTGTGTATGTGTGTGTGTCTATAATGGGATGGATAAATTCCCCCTGAAGACACAGGCGGAAGTTCTGGATTCATCACTGAGCCTGGAACTCCAGGTCTTGGAAGTGGCCAGGGGAGGTTTTGCATAAATAAAACTTGTGTGCCAGTTGTACTCGTACCGTCAGAAACAAGACTTGGCCATGGTGGTCCATACTATTGTTACATCCCGAATAGATGACTGCAATGTATTCTACATGGGGTTGCCTTTGAAGACTAATCAGAAGCTCCAAGTGGTCCAATGAGTGGCAGCCAGATTCCTCATTGGAGCAGTGTGCAGGGTGAACACAACCCCCCGTTACACCTGCTCCATTGGCTGCCAGTATGCTACCGAGCACAATTCAAAGTGCTGGCTTTAGCCTATAAAGCCCTAAATGGTTCCGGCCCAACTTACCTGTCTGACTGTATCTCCCTCTATGATTCACCTCAGAGGTTAAGATCTTCTGGAGAGGCCCTGCTCTTGGTCCCACCTCCTTTGTAGGTCCGGTTGGTGGGGATGAGAGACAGGACCTTCTCAATGGTAGCCCCTCGGCTATGGAACTCCCTCCCTAGAGAGATTAGAGCAGCCACCTCCCTCCTGACCTTCAGGAAGAAAGTAAAAACGTAGCTATGGGACCAAGCCTTTGGATAGCAAGTTTTAGTGAAATAAGAAAATATGGAATAGTGAAATGACTAATGAATCATGATTTTGGATGGCGTGATTTTGATAATTGGTTGTAATATTGATATGTTTTAATTTCTGTTTTTCATGTATTTGTTTATTTTACTGCATGTATGTTTTTGGCATCGATTTACTGTCTTTCTGTAAGGCCGATCCAAGTCCCCTTCGGGATGACAAGGGTGGGATATAAATGTAGTAAATAAATTGGAAAAGTCTACTGCTGATTTTTACATTTTATACATACCAGAAAACCAATGGAAGTGGTTAAAAGTATGTGAGAATCTGGCCTGTTGTGAATTGCCAAGTCAACTTCAAGATACTTAAGTTAAGTTAGGTGACCCCTCGTTGGCCGAGTAGGTCTTCCAGGATCAGAATTCTTGTGAGTCTGTAGGTGGCTGTGGAGCCCTATTCTTGATCTGCATCTTCTTCCGCAGTGGGGACATTGGTTTCCAGGTGGAAGGCGGTCTCGGTCGGGGTTGGCTTGACACACCTTCCTCTTGGCACATTTCTCTCTTTCACCTTCCATTCGTTCCTCTTCAAATTCTGCAGCACTGCTGGTCACAGCTGACCTCCAGCTGGATCACTCAAGGGCCAGGGCTTCCCAATTCTCAGTGTCTATGCCAGAGTTGTTAAGGTTGGCTTTGAGCCTATCTTTAAATCTATTTTCCTGTCCACCAACATTCCGTTTTCCATTCTTGAGTTCGGAGTAGAGCAACTGCTTTGGGAGATGGTGGTCGGGCAAAAATATCAAAGACCTAAAATGAAAAATAATGGAAGTTAAGGGAGAAAGTACAAAAGTGGAATAATAGATAAACACAAATGATAATCATAGACACTTTACTTTGAAATGGACAATGAAAATATTGAAAGAGTTAAAGATCGTCATCAACAAAAACATTAGATTCTAGTCAAGAAATCAGAAAATTAAGACTTGGAATGACAGATCTGAAGGAACTGGATTTGATTCAATTCCATCATTGGTGGAGTTCGGAATGCTCTTTGTAGGTGAACTATACATCCCAGTAACTACAACTCGCGTATGTCAAGGTCTATTTTCCCCCAAGAGCGCCTCAAGAGCGTCCCTGGGCAAAATCAACTATACTGCAAATGCTTACCTTGCGTAATGGGTTGAGCCGCCCCTGTCTATGGACCACTAGTGGTCCACAAGAACGAAAATATGGTCCGCAGCCTCACTATTAGTACACTGTTGCCTCAAAACCATGCAGCAACAAGAGCGATTGGTCCCACAAAACCCTCCTATAGTGCTGAGGCAACGGGGATGTCGGGAGGGGAGAGGCGGACTACCCTTGAAATATTATTACTACCACATCAGCTCTAGATTATCAAATATGGTTTTCTGTGGGCGAGCAGATGGCAACTACTGGATGGCATATGTTCTGTTTCAGGAACTTGAGCTGATGTGGTCTATCCAATGCAATGTTCTGAATCAGCACT